CCTGGCCCAAACGATGGCGCAGAGCCAGAGGACTGTGTCGTGGCGACAGTGGGATCGCAGCCAACCCGGGTGATCGCTGAGTTGCCTATGGGCTTTGGAAGCGTGGTGTTCTGCCATGCGCCAAGGACGTAGAAGGCGATGCAGAGCGCGCTTACAACGAGGATGTATGTCAGGCGCTGCTTCTTGGATTCCTGCAGCTGCTGGGCTTTGGGAGAAGCTGGGTAGTCCTTCGCCATGGCTCCTGCAGTTCCAAGAACCAGTGAGGTGTCAACAGAATTTAATTTGATCTAATGGAGAAAGGCACCAAAATTAGGAGCAGCTCACAGAGTTCAGAGTAGAGGGCTTAAACTGACACATTTAGGCTACACATCTTTGATTTGAGCAATTGAGCTGAACACTGAAGATGAAGGCATAGGGTTTGCACTGCCAGATAAACTAATTTTACTATAAGCAGTGAAAGAAATCTAAGAAAGTATCAAGATTTGAAATTTCGTAGATTTCTCAAAAAAAAAAAAAGGATTTGAAATTTAGTAATCTACCATGCTTCAGTGAGGTTTGTGGGCACAATTACTGTACAGTTTGGTGAGATCAAAACTAAATAGTTTTAACAGTGGCAGTAAATTTCTGTGGCTAGCTACGACTTTAGAACTTAGAACAACAAAATTCAGAAAGTGGAAGGAGATGGAGATAGCAGATTGGATTGATCTGATTTCTGAACAACAACTGAATTTATGTTTGCCCAAAATTAAAGAGGCACCAATTACCAACCTAACCCATAAAAAAAAGTTAGAAGAAGCAGCCAGAGGAAAAGATTAACCAACCTAACCTCAGATCGTGATAAAATCTCCAAAAGGCTTTGATTCGCCCGAGAGGAGAAAACTGTGCAGAATCGTATGCACGCAGCATGCCTCAAATAAAATCAGCAGACTTATGCTTCTTGCTGAAGGCAAGTATGTCCTTCTAGCATAAAGGGTAAAGGAGGCTAAACAGTAAAGATTCCCAACAAAAGGCAAATCAGAAGCCACACGACAACAGCTAAGCACCAACCCATGCCCATGAATCCAAAATTTTAACGAAATGGGAAGCAGACCCCATCAATGCCCCTCAGCGGGAGCCGTTGCATTTCCAAATGGATCCATCCCCTCCAAGAAACAAAGCGCACGAAACGAAATCAGCGGAGGAACCTGATCTGCGAACAAGAAGCCAGCTCAGGAAGGCAGAGCACTGGAGGACGCCAAGACGACGACGAAGAGGCAGAGTACCCCCAAGCTCCAGAGGGGGAAAAGGCCGGAAGGGGACGGGAGAGTAGCACCACGGGTCCTGCCTATTTATGCGAGCTCTGCACTTCAGCAATGGCGAGGTTAGTGAGGCAGGCACTGAGAAGAGCCAGTGGTGAGTGAAGTGGTGGCGTGATGCCGAACACACGCCCACATGTCAGCAGCGCCCCAGCTAACCCTGTCCCCCCTTTTCATAAATAAATAAAGAAAGCGGGGTGTGAATGGAGGCCACACCCGGAAAGATCAGGCCGACATCAGCATAAAAATAGGAATTTTTTGAATTTGTTTAAAGATTGTAAAGAAAGCGGGGTGTGAATGGAGGCCGCCGACATCAGCATAAAAATAGGGCCCTGTTTAGATTGAAACTTTTTTCCACTTGATGAATAGTATCACTTTCATTTTATTTGGTAAATATTATCCAATCATGGACCAACTAGGCTTAAAAGATTCATCTCGTGATTTCCAACTAAACTGTGTAATTAGTTATTTTTTTTATCTACATTTAATATTTCATGCAAGCGGCTAAAAATTGATATGATAGAGAGAATAAAAAAACTTGGAACTTTGATGGGATCTAAACAAGGCCTAGGGTGGAATTGGTGGGAAGGAAAAAGCGGGCAGCCACCGAGGGCGAGGCGAGACCACGGCCTGTCATTGCTCACGTGGTAATGGTGTTGGAGCAATGCCTGCCTGTGGAGACCCAGCGAGCGCAGTGGATCGTCCGAGGAAGATGATTTGCAAGAATAAATAGTCTTCGGTCCTTGGAATTAGGCCTCTTGCACGAATGTGACGTTTCTATCCTTGGACTGTATGCATGGACAATGACGAGAGATGTGCTCTGAATTTCTGACATAGTATTGGTTTCTGAACAAAATTTCTGGACTATTGGTTTCTGAACAATCTTTGACATTTCAAGAGCCTACTTTTTATTTTTCTTGTTTGGCTCTTTAGTCAACAAACACCAATCAGCTGCCATTTCCATGCAGAGGATTTTTGGTGCTTTGCTCCGAGAGCACAATGCTGAACAACTTGTTGAGGACATTGTATCTACCTTCATTAGGATCAGGAAAAGGATATCTTTTTTCAAGACAATGTCGCCAATAATCTTTTAACCGACTACATTGGAAGGGGACAAAACAATTTTTAATGGCAGACAGAAAGCCTTAACACAATTCCAAGAATTAATAAAAACATGAACACAACGAAATTAACCACGCGAGAGCTGCAGTAAATCTTGGAATTACCCACCTTATAACGATGTATATGTGTCCCAGTATTCCCTTGTCACCGTAGCAAATTTGCTCTGCCCTCTCTGAGTGTCGCCCACTCTATCATTGATCTGGGCAACTTTGCCCGCCCATGATGGTTGTTTGCAGTAGAAGCAGGGTAAAACCAAAAGGCTCTCCTTTTGAGCTGTTGCCCCTTTTTATCTCCTCGTCACGCACTGGCGCAGGGGATGTTCACCCCCCTTGTTCTTTGCCTGCATGGAGAATTGGAGGGTGGACAGGATTTGGTCAATGGCGAAAGGGCACCACAGAGGGTTATGGGGAGAGATTGTAGGGCCTCCATTTGCTCCCAGCATTTTCTGCTTTTCCTTTTGACTTGAAAAATAGAAAACCTCATGTGGAAGGGAAAAAAATACAGTTTTGTGATGGGCTGATGGCAAGCTTGGACAGTGTCGGTGCAATAAAATGCAGGGACCACAGCCTCTGATGGCTCATGTTCATGGCGTGGCCTACCTATTTGGCCTGATATTTTGCAAAGGATTTCACCGGCAAATAATGAATGATATGGTTCCTTGGATCCTTGTCTATATACAGCTAATTCCTGAATTCACTTTTAGAAAGTGAGCCTAGTTGGATGGGAGGTGTGGTCATACTCATACGAGTATACCCAACGACTAAGGTTTGAGCCTCTTCAACCTAGCCCTCTCTAACTCAAATTTGGGTGTCTATTTGCTTCTTGGTGAAAAAAGGTATATTTCCTGCTAGAATGGTCACAGTTTTTCTGAATTCAATCTTGTTTCTATAGTTCATCAAGAAAATAACTGTTTCGAGGAGAACTATAGTAGCAAAGCTGATAGACATTCAGGTGTGCATTATTTCACATTTGATGACACAGTTAGAAAATCTGCAGAACACAGTAAGACATATCCTGGTTCTTTCTATGTAGACAATTTTTTTAAGCATGATAGAAACACATTTTTCTTTATCAACGAAATAAAACCACGGAAAAAGGAAAGAGAATGCCATGGATGGAATCTCCAGGAAAAGCGGGTAAAGTGAACACACGCAATGGCGCATCACTCCTTTTGGAATCCGCATCAGCCTTCCTGCCTGATGAGGGTTCCTCGAGCACAAGCCCCCCCTCTTTCACAGGATCCAAGAACAGGAGTCTCTCGTAGTCTCGTTTCAAAACGAAAGATGGAACGGGATCGGAGTCCCTCGGTCACCGATCTTCAACCCACGTCCCACGCAATGCGAAGCGCAATTCCAGTTTCCGCAACAGAACAGTAGGGACAATATAAATAAAACAAACTGAAAATCAATCGCGTATGCAACTCTCACCTGATGAGGTGCTCAACTGCGGAACTCGAAAAGGACGACGAAGAGGATACCGGAGGAGATGATCCACGCAACAGCAGCCGAGATGTTTCCGGCGCTGGTAGAAAAACCAGTCTCCGGGGATCGTTTGGAATTTCGTTGACGGCGAATCTACCTCGGCGGAAAATATGGTGGACTCCGCACCGAAACCCTCAAGAGCACGTTCGTTTCCCCCTGAATCACCGCCAGGAACGATTCCCGGCCGGAATCGTTAGTTTATTTGTATAAGATTTCATCAGCAGGAATGAATCCTGATGTCAAACTGCCCCAAACGTCCTAAGAGATTTTTTCCATGCGTGCCATTATAAAAGACCGTAACCGTGGGACTCTGGAAAAATTCAGCGGATTTAACATTATTACTTTAACTTTTTTATGTTCCTCTATGTCACTTCCGTCAGTTTAGGTTCTAACGGTGTCAAACTGCAGGTGTGAAAAAACGAAAATAACCTTAAGTCTAAATATGTTATTAATTTTTTTTGAGCATCTTAATGACTTCAAATGAAAAAACTCAAAACTAGAAAGTTACCGATTTTTGTCGAGATCTATAATTTTTATATAAAATTTATTTTCATTTAATTCTAAAAAAATATGATTTGATATGATTAATATATCTTAGAAAAATCATCATTTTTTGCGGAATTAAATGAAAATAATTTTATATGAAAATTATAGATCTCGAAGAGATCTACAACTTTTTAGTTTTGAGTTTTTTCATTTGAAGTCATGTTAAAAAAATAATAACATATTTAAACTTAAAGGTATTTTCGTCTTTTCACACCTACAATTTGACGCCGTTAGAGCCTAAACTGACGGGAGTGACATGGAGGATACGAAAAAATTAGAGTAGTGACGCTGAAGACCGCTGAATTTTTCCAGGACACACCGAAAATTACAATCTTTTATAATGGCACGCCAGGAAAAGTCTCAAACCCTTACGCCTGGCAGGCCGCTGGATCTCCACATCCTGAGACAATTCAGCCCAACCGCCCAGATCGTACCTGCAGAGGCCCATCAGTCCACGACGCGGCAGCGTCTGTGTGGCTGGCTGTGTCGCAAGGGCACGGCTCCAGCCGCGCCGCGGGTCCGGCCGGAGCCCGACGCGCCGACGCGGGGCGTCCCCATGCCGCTGCCGCTGCGGGTGGCGGCGCGGCTGCTGCTGGCGCGGGGCAAGACCACCGCGGTGCAGCACGTGGTGGCGCGGCACCTGGACCACACCTTCGAGCGGCTCGCGGCGGCGCACCTGCCCCTCGTCGCGGCGTCGCCGCTGATCGACGCGCTGCGGGCCTGCCCCGAGCCGCTCGCGCTGCCGAACCTCGCGCGCCGCCTCCCGCTCCGCCTCCACCGCCGCGGCCCGCTCCACTTCCTCCGCCTCTTCCCGCGCGTGTTCCACCTCCGCGCCCCGCTCCCGCTCTCGCTGTCCCTGACCCCCGCCGCCGCGGGCCTCCTCTCCGTTGCCAGCTCCCCCGCCGACACGGCGCGGACGCTCCACCGCCTCCTCGCGATGTCGGTCACCCGCTCCCTGCCCCTCCGCGCCATCTTCCGCGTCTGGCGCGAGCTCGCCCTCCCCGACGACTTCGAGGACTCCGTCGTTGAGGGGCACCCGCACCTCTTCCGCCTTGTCCCCAATCCCGACGAGCCCAACACCCACATTCTCCAACTCGTCGCCGATCCGGCGACAGAGGAATTCACCCCGGTGGTGGAGAAGACCCGGCCGGACAGGTACGCCTTTAAGCTGCAGTTTCCGCCGGGGTTCAGGCTGACCAAGGAGTATCGGAAAAAGGTGAAGGGGTGGCAGCTGCTGCCTTACACCGGCCCGTATCAGGGCGTCAGTCCGAGGGCTGGAGGGAGCAAGAGGGTGTCAAAGCTGGCGAGGAGGAAGATGGAGAAGAGGGCGGTAGGGATTGCGCACGAGTTCCTAAGCCTGACAGTGGAGAAGATGGTGGAGGTGGAGAAGTTCAGTCAGTTCAGGAAGTGGTTTGGGATCGAGGTCAATGTCCGGGACGTGTTCTTGGATCATCCCGGGATATTCTACCTCTCGGCGAAAGGAAAACGGCACACAGTGTTTTTGAGGGAGATGTATGATCGTGGAAAGCTTGTTTTGTCGAATGATGTCTCTGAGGCAAGGGCCAAACTCGTTGAGCTCATGCTCCTGCGTCGACGTGGTCTTGGGAATGCCAATTCAAGTGCCAACATGGATTCAGGTGCCACTGTTGATGCCAGAGAGAGTGGTGATGATTTTGTTGAGCATGAGGATTGCTTGTTGGACGTATCGGATAAGTAACAGTAGAAGGATGTTCTCAACTTCATGGGAAATCATGTCAGTAAGCATGTTCAACTGTGCTTGGCACACTTCTGATGGAGAATGGATTAATGGTGCCATGGGCAGGAGGTTTGTGTGCTGGAGATAACCAAGGTGCACGGATTTCAGAGTGGTATCACATGGTTGATAGAGGTAGTGGCATGGACATAGTTGTGGCATTTGATGCTTGGAACCCAAATGTCATGTTTCAACTGTTTGCGCTATCCTATTGGTAGTTCAAGATTCATGAGGAAAGGTTGAACCTTTCAAATTCCATTCCCTTAGTTCTCTGCTCAGATTCTTTTGCTTAATTGCTGGTAATATGTTAGGACATGAATTTGCTCTAGTTCTTCTCTTTTGTCTGGCATAGGTACTTTTGGTTAGGGCTATGGGCTGAAAAGTAAAACCATGACGGTGCCTGGTAGGTGGCATTGCCTGAATTTTATTATTTGAATAAAGCATTGCCTGAATTGAAGAGACAATTCTTCAGCATTTTTTGCAACCCTGGTCGTTTTTGCAACATTCTTAGCTTAACAGGGCCAGCAAGAGTGCAAACATGCTTCATGTTGTTGGACGACTTCAGGCACCTACATTGCCAGTTCAGCTTGAAGTTCCAAGTTTATGCTTTCAACAGTTAAGCCTACTCTGATGTTGGAACACTGAACGCCTATGAATCGCAAGGTTTTGAGCTGGTTGGCATCACAAAACTAGTGCCTGATGTTCAAATATCAAGAAGAGATGATGGTTGAATAACCATATATTATCGCTAATGGAGAGACAGTCAGGCACCTTCTGATAGGCAAATAGGGGTAGTGTAATGCTTCTCCATAGCTAACAATTTTGTGTCCAGCAAATGTACCAGCCAATCTCTGTGCTGGAGATTGGTGGTTACTCTCCCTCGCTGCAGTTGTATCTCCATACACCTTACTTCAGTTGTGTCTTTTCTTCCCCATAGTTGGTTCTGAGTGTTCATTTTGTAGGACAAAATACGGCTACAATTAAGAACCATTGTTGTAATAATTTTAAAATAGTTTTCTTTTTCTTCCAATTATCAGCCTGATGTGGTTGGAGAGATTGGCTCCAGATTTTCCAGCACCCTCATACTCATTTGGTTTCTTTTTGCTCATATTCATTCGGTTTCCTTTTGTAAGATGCGCATGGGTCTTAGTGTTATACTACGCCTAAAATTTGAAATGGAGTGAGAATAAAGTTTTGTTCGTTGATCAAAGTTAATACCACGTGAGCGGAAGGAGATGATTCTGCGCAGGAAGCAAAGAGTGACATATTTGCCCAACTGATACTAATCTGCACATTTCCTAGTTTGATCCTCTGAAATCTTGACTGCAACACAGTCCAGTAATTACAAAGGATTATGGATGTTGAGGAGCAGAACTCTGGCCTGCAGCAGCCTCCTGAACACCTTCTCGCTTTCGCTCTCCAGCCCGGCAATGCGTTCCTCTAGCTCCTCCAGCCTCTGCAATGCCGTTGGCGCCATCTCCGGCGCTACTTTCCTGGCCCCTGGTGCGACGCCCAGCCTCGCCAGCCACCTGTGCGAAGCCGAAGACGCCGTTTGTACCATGGCCGACACGTTCGGCGACAAGGCCGCGCACCCGGAGAAGACGACCGCCGAGGCCTCCGCCGCGGCCACGGCCGCCTCCGCCACCGCGCCGACCACTTCAGTGTCGGTGGCGTCCGCTGAGCTGGGCGCCGGCGCCGCGCGCCTCGAGGTCGAGGCGTGCCGCATCGCGGCGGCGAGGCGGTGCAGCTCCTTCTCGGTCCGCCTGTGCGCGCGCAGCGACGCGGCGACCACCGTGCCGTCCCCGCGTCGGGCGCCGGCCTGCGCGTCCGCCACGCTCTGCTTCGCCGCGAGCAGCGCCGACTCGAACGTGCCGTACGCGTCCGCGAGCACGAGGAGGCCGTCGAGGACCTGGTCGTCGTCGGGGTCAGCGTCGTGGAGGGCCGCCGCTGCCCGCGGCGTGGCCAGCAGGTCGCCGAGCGCGGCCAGGACGGCGTCCAGGAGCGCGAGGCCGTGGCCGGAGGAGGAGGAGGCTCCGCCGGCGCCGCACCACGCCCTGAGCGCGCGGACGGTGCCGTGGAGGCGCGCGAGCGCCGGGTGGCACGGCTCGCTCGCGGACCGCGCGTGTGCTGCCGCGGTCGGCGCCGCGGCCGCCTTCCTCCTCGTCGTCCTCGCAGGGCTGAGCGTCAAGTGCATTCTGACTTCTGGGTGGGGTGCTTGCTTTCCTGATGATCGTGATCGTGATCGTGATCGTGATCGTGAGTGGAACGTCCGGGACATGGACGTGAGCATATATTGGACGGCCGCCGCGGAGGCGGTGGTTGCAAGTTGCGGCAAAGAAATGGTCGGATACTCGGATTCACAGGAGGCGGGTTGGCGCCGGCCGCGCTGCTGTTTTGGGCATCCCGGCATGCGAGCAAAACAAGTGGAAACCCAGCCAGTGTCCAGTAGCGGCAGGGGTACCATGGAGTTGACCAGTGGCGTACGACAAAGAGTTCAGTAGGGAACAGCTCTGCCTATTGGGGGACATATTCTTCTTGTCAACGAGAGGTTGGCGCAGCGCTGACGGGATTGGTCGTGCGAGGTTGGGATTTCGGATAAGGCGCGAGTGAACTGTCAAACAACCTCGTTCCAGTTCCGGTATGCCGGGGGCCTGGGGCCTTTGTTTTGGTTTGGAGGAGGACTGCGGCCAAACCGCCGGGCTTTCTCAAACCAGAAACCTGGCCAGCCACCATCTGCTGGCTGCTGCCGAAGGCAGGATTTGCCGAGTGGCCAGCTTGGCGAATAAACAATGGACCGCGATGCTTGTCGTCCCGCGGCCCCGTGCGCGCAAGCCAGCGACACAGAGGTCTGAGAGATGGGTTCCAGCAGAGCAGCAGCGATGGAGAGACCCGAGAGCCGAGGCAGCTGCACCCGGCAGCAGGTCAGCTGTGCCGTTCTCTCGCCCTCATCTGGTTCGACGCACCGCTGCCGTTTGCCCACCGCGCCACCATGGGCTGGCCAGCCAGAGGCACAAGCACTGAAGCACAGCTCCGACTTGCTGCCTGCCTGCCTGCCTGCCTGCCTCGCTGTATGAGTTGTACGGGCTACTTCTAGTAGTACTCCTACCCAACACTCGTCATATTCTGCGACACAGAACTAACAACTGCCTGTTCAGAATTTAATATTTTTTTCTAAAGAAAAACTGAAAGCATATACATAATCGTTTTACTAAGATTGTGCGGTTTTGCTTTTTTGTTGGTTAAGGAAATGCCTACTGTGTCAAACCAGAAAGGCCTAGCTGAAAAGTACTCAGTACTACTATGGATTTATTGGCACTTGATACTGTGATACAGGTAGTAAACTCTAAGGCCCCATCTGGAAGACATGAATTTCATGAGAACTATGCAAGAATCCCACATTACACATCTCCAAATAAGGAAGATTAGCACCGTGTAATCCTGGCTTACCTTATAAGCAATGTACTCCTACATAATCCGGATCTGAGGCTCAGCAATATAATCGACCCTTTCCACTAATTCTGTTCTACACTTCCCCCATTTGATATGAAAGTCATTGAGGCAGAAATGCACTACCTAAGCTACTGCTTACTATGTAGATTCAAATGCTGCTTTCTCATGTGTTGCATTGGTATTTGCAGGAATTATACTTCTAGCGTCCCTCCAAGGCTGTAACACTCATAGTATTTGCAGAATTCACAATAGCTTCTGCTGCTCCGTCAGTTCCATAATTCCTTTCTGCAAAATATATTGGCTGTTTTGGAGGTGGAAGTGACGTATCTCCATTCTCTAGAATCGACACAATTGATGACATGAGTGGCCGAGCATTTGGGCTGTCTTGAACACACAAGAGCCCGATATGGATGCACTGTGAAGTCTCATCAAGCGAACAATTATCCACAATGGACGAGTCAACAAATTCTTTTGCATTCCCATCCTTCCATAAGCTCCAAGCCTGCATCGATAATGTCCCATCCATCAAGATACAAATCTACAATAAATTGCAGTTATTTGAGTATTTCGTAATACTTACACAGGCTATAAGGTTGGGGTAATCTTCTGTCATGTGCATAGAGCTGATCTTTGAGCCACTCACAATCTCCAGAACTAAAACTCCAAAGCTATACACGTCAGACTTGACAGAAAACACACCTTCCAAAGCATATTCAGGCGACATGTAACCACTGTTTGAAATATTGCCCCATTATTAAAAACCCAGCTTATTTTAGTTCAAGCACAATAACAGTATTGTAAAGCTCATTAATGTTATATATATCACTCACTATGTGCCAACAACGCGGTTGGTGTTTCCTTGTTGCTGGTTGCCATAAAAAATTCTTGCCATACCAAAATCAGATATCTTGGGGCTCATTTCATCATCCAATAATATGTTGCTTGCTTTGAGATCCCTGTGGATTATCTTCAGCCTTGAATCTTGATGAAGATAAAGAAGTCCTCTAGCTATCCCTAAGATTATATTGAATCTTGTTGACCAATCAAGCGATGGTTTTCTTGTGGATTCTGTCAGCAGTAGCACAAATTGAGGGATAACATCAGCCATGCTTGTTGATTTAATTAATAATTACTGAAATTTAGCAAGAAAAAGCAGAACATACTGAAAAGAAAGGCATCCAAACTTTTGTTTGATAAGTATTCATATATCAATAATTTCTCATCTCCATGAATGCAGAAACCAAGAAGTTTAACTAGGTTTCTGTGCTGCAACTTGGCGATAAGAATTACTTCATTTCTGAACTCCAATACCCCCTGTCCAGAACCCTTACTAAGCCTTTTCACAGCAATTGTTTTACCATATTCTAATGTTCCCTGCACAATCGCATATTTCTTAGACCAAACCAAATATGAAATACAGCGGTTTCTACTATAAGAAAATATTAATCATTACCTTATAAACATATCCAAAACCTCCGTGTCCAAGCATGTTGGAGCTAGAAAAATTGTTTGTTGCTAGTACAATTTCTCTGAAGCTAATAGAGGGAAGCTTCCCATCCCCGAGTTCATCAGAAATGTTCAGAACTCCTGATATTATCTTCTTCCATGTTTTCTTATTTCTTTGTTTGACTGACAGGAATAATGATACTAAGTTAAAGCTAATAAAAGAAGACTGCATATGAAATAGAGAACATATGCAGACATTCCTGGGGAAAATACACAACGATAGTAGGGAACTTGTACCTCGTGAGTTACAGATCCAAACAAGCCACATGAATACGAGTATGAGCAAACTTGATACAACTGGCAGAGTAATTTTCAGGATATTGCTCCTCCTCTTTTTATCTGTCCAAAATTCACACATAAAGGGGATAATAAACTGTGCTTAATTAGACAGCAAACCAAATATTTCTGACAGGTATGAATGTATATGCAAAACCACATGAACAATCACATTACTTAGTCTGGCATTATATTAGCATTGGGCAGACAAGGAATTTTTTGCTTGATGTTTAAAATATCTTAAATTTCTTTTATTACAAGTGTTGATTTTGTTATCATATAGTTTGCTCCTCATATGTACAATATAAACAATATAAACAAAGGTGGAAATAACATAAGCCAACACATGAAGGTGCCCTTATAAGACTGTAATTTACTTCAACTTAAGCCAACTCCTTGCAGCCTATAAATTGTGAACTTAGAAACTATCTTACGAAAGCGCTTTAATATTTACACTACATATTCTCCTATAAAATTGTGAATCTAGTTAGGGGTGATGTGATTTCAATACCTCAGAACATGAAGTTAATATAGGCATGGGCACTTGTGGAATTGCGGTGTTTTGTCAGAACTGGTCACCTTAATGATGGCAATCAACAAACATAATTTTCAGTTTTTCACTGACCTTTTCCTAAACAAGCTACCTTGAGTACTTTTTTATATTTTTTAAGGAGACAATATGGTCAAAATGAATGCACCTTTTATCCTTTTTAAACTCATATATACCAGGTATTATAAAATAGGTCAACTCTGTTTTCTTTTGCTGCCACTAATAATTATTTAGAGCTTATTCATGCTGGTGATGCTGTGTGGAGCAGTACGATCGAGCATATGATTGGTCCTTTCTGGACCTGAAGAGAAAGAAAGAGAAGCAGAAATTATACCACTTGATCTGTTTACCCGAATGTAAAGATTTTCTCCTGCTCCAATGCGCTTCTCTGTGTCAATCAAATCTCCCATCCATAATAGGCACCTTGTGTCATCCCCGTTGATAGCCGTGGTGCTCATATTGGCATAAACGTAACCTGTGCAGGAGCAGTTGCTAGCGCATTCCGCTGTGCATTCGTCAAAGCTTCTATTCTTGACATACATGAACTTGTCGGGAATCTTCATGGTCGTCAAAGTTAAGAAACTAGTATTTTCTTGACCACATCTTAGTGTGTCCTTGCGGCGGCATCCTTCCGGAAACCTTCCATTGCTCCTGCCTTTGTTGCTTATTGGCTCGAAACTGTCGAGACACTTGCATGTCGCATTAGGCTCTGTGTTATCACAGTACCCAAACGGACCACAATATCCATATGTACTGCATTCATGGTTAGGATCTGCCACCACGACATCCCACTCCAAAATGTTGCTATTCCAGGTTAGGATTTCTATCTTTCCTGAGTAGTCCATTTTGATCTTGATGACAGTTGACGATGAGGAGCCACCGGGTATGCCAAAGGACATATAGATCTCACCATCATCACGGCTAATTGTGAAGTAGATAGTGGACTTGATAATTCCCATATATGGCCCAACTACCAAGTAGTTATTCCACACCGCACTTCTCCGGTATGGTCTCGAGCCATTCCAGATAAACCTTTGCAGGAACTCATTAGGATCTGCACCGTAGGAGAAGCTGCCCGGGGTTGGGTCTTGGGGACCCTTCCAAGAAACCAGCCGTTGCAGTGCATGTCTATTGTGGGTGACTCTAAGTTTCATGCCAGGGAGAAGAGTGTCGGCCGGGTAATCGAAGCTTTGCCATAAGACGACGCCCTCTGATGTCCGAAGGATGAAATTTCCAGTATTGTCAAGCCTGGCTTCTCCAGCGGTGGTCTCCGATGCAGAGCTGATGTTTGCCGTCCAAAGCATCTGGCCGCTAGTACTGGACAGAACAAGATTGGATGTATTCGTCAGGGCAAGTGTTGCAGAGGAAGGGTCGGTGACTGGCGTTGCACGATTGGCAACCCACATGACGTTGTCCTTGGGGATGTTGTTGTACCATATACCAACGTAGTAGAAGTGTTTTTGGGTCGAGTTGGACGGGGAGAAGAAGCCCAGGGCAAAAGTGCCATCATCGGAGATGAGTGTGCTTTCAACAGTGAGCGGCTTATTGGGAAGAAGACGGCTGTCTGATGATACAGGAGGAGGCAGTAAGGTAGATGAACAAAAACACAGCAAGATGATTCTGTGGATTGGAAGGAAACCCATTGGTGTGGGGTTGTCCTGCTTTGCGAGAAAGTAAGGAGTCAACCACGCGAGTCGTTGGTGGGACACAGAGGCCAACAGGAGGGTGAGGTTGGCTTTGACATGCTGAAGATTTGTTGGGGAGTGGGGGAATCAGTAGATCTTCACTCCCAAGCTAGCCCTCCTGCATGCAAGAATCAACTCGTAAAAGAAAGATCGAGGACGAAACGATGAATACGATGGATTGGATCATAGAAATGAGAATAACGTGAGAGACGAACAGGCGGCTGATGATTGCAGTAGTTCAGTACATCGTCAAGGCGGCTGTGATTGCAGCGACGTTCGAATCCTCTTGATCTAAGCGCATCAGAGCAGCTGGCCGAGTTTCTCCAAGGTCGATCAGCTGCCGATCCGCTGGAAGACGAGGTATATTCGCTCGAAGACTCGTGTGAAAACTGCTGATGACAGTCATAAATGTGGTTTTAGATGAGTGGCGCTGCTAATCCCACCCCATCTGCTTGACTTTCAGAGCTGCGTCAGCCATGTATTCCTTTCAGGCTTCGGCATCACAATTCTACCGTGGTTGGCCATAGCGTAAACGAGGCTGAACTGCAGGTAGGGCCTACGGCTGCAGTATTCCAGTTTCCGACATTTCTGCCGGAGCTAGAGAAGATGAGGAACAACCGACGCACGAGTCGCACAGCACGGCGGGATGCATCTGAGCTGCCCAGTGCCCACCTAATCAGCTACGGCGATCCCTCGCTGGACGCTGGCTGCGAGATCCCCAGGTACGCAAGGGGGACGGACTTCTCTCCCTGTTCTTTCTTCCATGCCTGTAGGCCTACGAACATAAGCAGGACAAGAAGAATTGGAGAAGCAACACGCCGGTGCCCAAGCCAGTCAGAGAATGAACACATCTACAGCAGCAGAAACGATGTTGCAAGCGCCAACTTTGCTACGGGGTACACAATGTTAAATCAAAAGAATCATGCAAATTCCAGGCATCCAAGAACCCATGATACAATCGAGTAATAATCCAATCAATATATATCAAACCAAACTACATACTTCATACAGTGCTCGGCTGACTACACAATGTTACCGGATATGGATAATATATGGCATACACAAAAACTGCGAGCTATAGCAGAGCAACCACCCATAGAGATGTCATCAAACAGAGATATTTCCACGAGGAGAATAAGGCTAGGTGACGTCTAGAAGCACTTCCTGTGGACGATAGCCGGACCAGACTCCTCATACTCAGCCCTTGAGATCCACATCTGCACAGGGAAAAGATGAACTTATGTCAGAGCTTCACAAATAAACTTATATAGTGGATGCAGAATAGCCGTCGGAAAACTTGGTGTTACCTGCTGGAATGTGCTCAGGGATGCAAGGATCGATCCCCCAATCCAGACACTGTACTTCCTCTCTGGCGGGGCAACGACCTTGATCTTCATGCTGCTTGGCGCGAGCGCGGTGATCTCCTTGCTCATGCGGTCGGCGATGCCAGGGAACATGGTGGATCCACCACTGAGGACGATGTTGCCGTACAGGTCCTTTCTGATATCGACGTCGCACTTCATGATGGAGTTGTAGGTCGTCTCGTGGATTCCTGGAGCTTCCATGCCGATGAAGGATGGCTGGAAGAGCACCTCTGGGCATCTGAAGCGCTCTGCGCCTATGGTGATCACTTGCCCATCAGGCAGCTCATAGCTCTTCTCAACTGATGAGCTGCTCTTGGCGGTCTCCAGTTCTTGTTCATAGTCGAGCGCGACATATGCAAGCTTTTCCTTGATGTCACGGACAATTTCCCGCTCGGCAGTGGTTGTGAAAGAGTAGCCTCTCTCGGTCAGGATCTTCATGAGGGAATCAGTGAGGTCCCTACCAGCAAGATCGAGACGAAGAATGGCATGTGGGAGGGCGTAGCCTTCATAGATTGGGACAGTGTGACTGACACCATCTCCAGAATCCAGGACAATACCTGTCAACCAAAACAAAATCCCAATGTGCATTGAGCAACTGAATGAAACAAAAAGAAAATATTTTTATCCATTTCTATCCCCATATAATTTATGCAGCAATGATAAAAAAAATTGGTTCATGTGTTCATTTGAAGAAGATTCTATTGAATCAGATTTAGTTTTAGCTATTTGTGGTCCGCAAATATCACATTTCACCATTGGTAAATTTGTTCCCACTAGATTAAGATTCCAGAGCAGCAGAATGAATGCAAATGAATAAAATGCTGATTATTTGATCACTTACCAGTGGTACGGCCACTAGCATATAGGGAGAGGACAGCTTGAATAGCAACATACATAGCAGGAACACTGAAAGTTTCAAACATGATTTGTGTCATCTTTTCCCTGTTAGCCTTAGGGTTAAGAGGAGCCTCTGTCAGAAGAACTGGATGCTCTTCTGGAGCTACACGAAGCTCATTGTAGAAGGTGTGATGCCAGATCTTTTCCATGTCATCCCAGTTGCTTACGATTCCATGCTCAATGGGGTACTTCAAAGTCAGGATACCCCTCTTGGATTGGGCCTCATCACCAACATAAGCATCCTTCTGTCCCATCCCAACCATGACACCAGTGTGGCGTGGACGACCAACTATACTTGGGAAAACAGCACGGGGAGCATCATCTCCAGCAAAGCCAGCCTATAAGAGAGAGAAAAAATGCTTAACATTGACTGAAAATCAAATTATAAAAGCTGTCTCGAAAAAGAAAAGGAATCAGTAGAGAATATGATGCCAAGTGACCACAATTACCTTGACCATTCCAGTTCCATTGTCACAGACTAGGGGCTGAATGTCTTCTGCGTCAGCCATTTATGTTAAATGACCTGCAATCTGCATGAATGAAACAATTCATCAGGAGCAGCATTTACCAAGACTAGACTAATATGCGCTAATTACTTCAGTAAGAGAGAAAAGGCTGACGTGCCTACTCCCAACAGAAGACATGAGTCACCTCTTAACATGCTACTACATATTGACTCAGAAAAAGAGGCTACTATATTCCCATTGAGTACTGATATTTACCAAACACGAAGCCAAAACACAAGCAATGGTAACCATGAGAAGTCAAGCAAAAACAAATTAAGTGTAATCAGAAACCGCTAATCTTACAAGAATAAAACCCTTTGTGCAATTAAATAATTAATTTATAATTTTCCAGCTATATTAATCAATTAATTTTTAGTTGTAAATATACAAAAAAAAAGTCAGGGTGGTCTGGAGCATCTCAACTCCACAACACATGCAAACACTTTGTGCAATAGGACAAGGAATGACACCATTCCCTGAAGATTTAGTCAAACACATGGTCAATTACTGAAAACAAAGTTGCGATTTCCTCACAACTGAAAACAAAGTTGCTCTGCTCAGCTGCTTTTCTACCACAGCTGTGGTGGCTGATGCTGCTTGATTTCTACAAGTTTTACTGAGTAGTGCTGCTGCAGCCAGGACTGCCAATCGCGGCCAGTTATGATTCCTCACAACTGACCATCTGAAGAATTTAGCATTTTCTGATCAGAAGGCATTTGATGCCATCTGACAGCAGACAGCTCAAGGAATCCAGCACATGCGCATCGATGTCCAATACACAAACTTCATGACCCTTCCCCTTTTGGGTGAAAAGAATTCCATGTCGATGATTTGTAGACATGAGTCATATAACATTTTCAAACATTTAAGAAATCTTGAAGCAACATTTATCTATAAGCCTAAACTGCTCCGCAGAAGCACAAAATTCGCTAAAATTTTAACAGCCAGATGGAACCATAAAACCAATAAAAAAATAAGGCCATAGTTTCGGAAGTTTCAAATGAAGACCAATACAGTTTCGTGGTCATTAAACGACTTGAAACATGAAGATCATAAAATTTCCTTTCTATAAATTCTAAGCACAAAGAGCCCTGTAGAGCTCACTTCACTTGCACAGAAGAACTATGCATCCATTACCACAGGGTAATATTAATACCGAAAATTTACAAAGAGATCTAGTATATTACTACTAGACGCCTTAACATAAACACAGGATCGAAGCATCCACAGAACACAGCCCATATGTCACCAACAAAGTCTCAGCAACTTTGGCGAACCTTACTCCTACTACAGATCCAGCACCTAACAGTCAACCAGTACATAATACAACCAGCGAACCCCCAGACCCCAGTGCATCCTATCACCCGTCCTCTAGAGCAACAAGAAACAGCAGCATTAAAGCAGTACGGCAAGGGGCCCTCGATTTACCTGGAACCGGAAGGAGGAGGTTGCGGCGGCGGCACGAAGCGTAGCAGGGAGGCGAGCGGGCGGATGGAGAAAGAGTGGGGAGGCGAGAGGCGCAAGATATAGGGCGTGGCGACGGCGAGAGCGTGCTGGGGTGGCAACGGTGGAGGTGGAGGTGGTGGCGGTGGCGGAGGGAAATGAGGAGGTATAAAGGAGGCCGGTGCCGCACTGGAAAGTTGGGGGAGGGCGGCCGTGTGCCAACGCGGAATAATTTGCCCACCTGGGCTGGGGCCTGGGGGGCACCATAGAGAATCACATTTCTTTTCTTTTCTCCTTCGGTTTATCATTGATGTATCATGTTTTCCTTTGTTTTGTTGCGATTTCATTTTCCATGTATCCATCGAGCGAAGGCAGAAGAGCTGTAAGTTCGAATTTTCTTTAACTCGAAAATTTGCTGCTGCTTCTTTAGATGATGTCACCTTCCATAAGGTTGGAATATTTTTACCCATCGTGGCTGCACAAATCTTTCCCTTCTATACCCACATGTCACGAGTCAAAGTTGTCCACAAGATTCCCGGAGATTAACCTTATAAAAGCAAAATTAATGTATGAGTCTCTGTATTTGTATTTTGATTGATTAAAAAAAAGTAAGAATTGGGTTTTAACTTGCTCTTTAGGCTCCTTTTGGAACACAGGTTTCTCAAAACACATGATTAGAGTTGCACAAAACTTGCAATCCTACAACAGCCTATAATGCAAGAAAATTTCTGATATAGCCTTCGGATGG